GTCAACTGAAAAATCCTTACAAACCCATTTAGGTGTCCCTAAAAGCGATTAGAAAAAGGAAATCCTTCCAGCAAGTGAAATTTCAAGCAGTACATACCTTGTGCATATATTTCCTATATAAGGATTAGTTATATGAGGCAGAAGAAAACTTCTTTTGTGTTGCCTTTTTTCCCTTTGTTGGATGTGATATTAACATAAAGATTCAATTTAGTTCATACAAACAATTCTAAGAATATAATCATACTTCCCTTCCTCATTTCCTTCCCACCCTATCTCCCTTTCTTTTTCCTTTTCCTTTTTTCTTTCCTTTTTTTCCTCCCTCTTTCTCTACTTCCCTTCCTAAAAGTTTAAGAATGATAATAGAGCCAGCGCTGTGGCATAGTAGGTAAGGCCACCACTTAATGTGCCAGCATCCCATGGGGGCACAGATTGGAATCCCAGCTCCTCCTCTTCCAATATAGCTCTCTGCTATTACCTGGGAAAGCAGTACAAGATGGCTCAAGTGCTTGGGCCCCTGCACCCACATGGAAGACCTGAAAGAAGCTCCCAGTTTCGTATCCATGCAGCTCCAGCCGTTGTGGCCAACTGGGGAGTGAACCAGTGGATAAGAAGACCTCTCACTCTCTCTCTGCCTCTCTCTTTCTCTCTGTGTAACTCTTTCAGATAAAAAAAATAATTTTTTTAAAAAAAGAATAATAAGAAGGGTGAATATGGATGTTATGTACCTTGCCTAGAGGTGGCCTGTGGGACAAGAAATGCACTTTGATTAAACATGGTAAACTCGGTCTACAATTCAACTTCATGAAGGGATAGTTATGAAAATTTTTAAAATCTACCTGATATCAAAATATGCCTCAAAGTTATAGTAAATACAAAAATTTAGTTATGCACAGGAACAGATAATGGAACAAAAAGTCCAGAATCAGGTACATTGCAGGCTGGCTGTTTTGCTATCTGTTCTTTCTCTGCACTGCTCTGCCAGGAGGCTGTTATTTTACTGATTGCATCGCAAAAGCTCCTTTGCTCTTTGATCATGAATGAGGTCCACCTAAGAGAAGCACTGGCAAAGGGATGAAGTATAAAGAGGCCAAGGCGTTTTATTTGTACCGTCCTTTTCAAAACTGGGTATTTTTAAATTTTGTTATTTGAGTGGTGCAGAGAGTTTCTAAGCCCTCATTCACTGCCCAAATGCTCTCAATAGCTGGGGGGCTTAAGCCAGGAGCTGTTTGTGAGTCAGGAATTCAATCCTATGTGGGTAACAGAAACCCAACCACTTGAGCCATAACTGTCACCTTCCAGTGTATGCACTGGCAGGAAGCTAAAATTGGGGGTAGAACCAGGACTAGAACCCAGGGATTCTGATACAGGATGCAAATATCTCAATGGGCAGATTATCCAGTTGGCTAAACACCTGTCACCATAATTGACTATTTTTTTATATAGCTGCATCTCTCAAAAGCCACAGCTTCTGTTGAGACTGCCTTCAATAAATTTATCTCTCTCTAGGTTCCACCAACATCGTTGTGTTCCCTTGCCTCTTTATCCCTAAGGGTGATAAAAAATTATTTCCACAGTTGGTTTAATAGCCTTAATTGATTTCCTTAATCATGTCCATAATTCTGTGAATAGTACTTTCACTGAACTCATTACATCCTTGAGTGTGATGGTTTTCTCATACTGGATGACATATTCAAAACAGAATTTTATATATTTGACAAGCACATGGATAGCTACTTTTTTTTTTTTGACAGGCAGAGTGGACAGTGAGAGAGAGAGACAGAGAGAAAGGTCTTCCTTTGCCGTTGGTTCACCCTCCAATGGCCGCCACGGCCGGCGCGCTGCGGCCGGCGCACCGCGCTGATCCGATGGCAGGAGCCAGGAGCCAGGTGCTTTTCCTGGTCTCCCATGGGGTGCAGGGCCCAAGCACCTGGGCCATCCTCCACTGCACTCCCTGGCCACAGCAGAGGGCTGGCCTGGAAGAGGGGCAACCGGGACAGAATCCGGCGCCCCGACCGGGACTAGAACCCTGTGTGCCGGCGCCGCTAGGCGGAGGATTAGCCTAGTGAGCCGCGGCGCCGGCCTGGATAGCTACTTTTATAAAGGGATTTGGGATGTTGGTAATCTGTGGCATTACAAAGGTATATATTGTCTATTTCCTTAGATGGCAGGATATTAAGTGTGGATGAGGTATAAGGTAGGAGGAGGACTACATTATCTCTATAACAACATTAGCAATAATATACAAGTAGGTGGTAAGTAAGACTGCCTGAAGAAACTACAACAAAATAAAATAGTTTAAGACTTTAAATTTCCAACTTTATACACAGTTCATCAAAAAAAGCCTTTGGTAGCCTTAAACAAATTCCTTAATTCATTTGGCTGTTCAAAAGTCGTGGTGCTACTGTAACTGTAACTCCATGATTTTTCTTATGTAATAACATAGGGACATTTTAGAGAATAATAAGATGCTGAGTTCTGCAATAGATATAATTGGGCTGCAACAGATAAGACTAAGCACAGCTGACTTTGGGTGCTCCACTGTAGCTGGGTTGCCAGAGTCATGCACTGCCAGCTTTGGTTGCTGTGGCTTGGGTGAGGTACGTTTGAGGTGGGCTTTGGGGACCCAGTCCCTCTGCCCTTGAGCTGTGAGGAGATGCCTTTCTGAAAAGTGAAAAGAGTGATCTGTGTGGAAGCTAACAAGTGCCATGGGGATCACTGCGAGATGATGTGCGTCATGTGGTGCTCAGTGCCTCCCACTGTGAAAAGGAGGAAATGCTTTTTGAAGGATATTGACCTGGCCTAGAAGATGCTTACACATGTATCACAAAATGAGGATTTATGTGCGCTTTCCTCAGAGTGAAAGAATCTTCTATTTAGACACGTTATCAGAGAGGTTCGTGAATCGCAGTTACTCAGAGTGGAGCAGAGAAAAGCCTGAAGTTCGAAGAACTACCAAATAGAGCATCAGAGCTCTGTGAACAGGTTAACATGGTACTATGGGGATCCAAGGACTACTACAGTTTATCAAAAAAGCTTCTGAACCCATCCCTGTGAGGAAATATAAAGGACAGGCAATAGCTGTGGATACATATTGCTGGCTTCACAAAGGAGCCACTGCTTGAGCTGATAAATTAGCCAACAGTGAACCTACTGATAGTTGAAATTTGCAAGATTTTCATTGCTACTGTCACAGTTCTTTGAACATTTCTTCATGGGAGAACATCAGTGTTTTGTAATACTAGATTCTGATTTTTGGCTATTTGGGAGTTGTTCAAAATAAATAAAGTCAGTGTTTATTATTAGAGGTATGTGGGATTTTGTATGAAATTTGTTAACATGTTAGTATATCATAGAATTAAACCTGTTCTTGTTTTTGATGGATGCACTTTACCTTCGAAAAAAGTAGAAAGGTCTAGAAAAGAACGACAAGCCAGCCTCCTTAAGGGAAACCAGCTTCTTCGTGAGGGTAAAGTCTTGGAAATCCAAGAATGTTTTACCTGTCCTATCAATATCACACATGCTATGGCCCACAAAAGTGATTAAAGCTGCTAGATCTCAGGGAGTGGACTGCCTTATATCTCCTTATGAAGTTGATGCACAACTGGCCTGTCTTAAAAAAATTGGAATTGTATAAGCAATAATCAGAGGATTCTGATCTCCTAGCTTTTGGCTGTAAGAAGGTGATTTTAAAAACAAACCAATTTGGAAATGGACTAGAAATTGATCATGCTGGGCTGGGAATATGTAGACAACTTGGGGATGTACTCTCAGAAGAGAAATTCTGTTACATGTATATTCTTTCTGGCTTTGACTATCTCTCATCACTGCCTGGGACTGCATTAGCAAAGGCATGCAAAGTACTAAGGCTGGCCAATAATCCTGACATTGCAAAGGTTATCCAAGAAAACTGGACATTATCTCGGCCAGCGCCGAGGCTCACTAGGCTAATCCTCTGCCTTGCAACGCCGGCACACTGGGTTCTAGTCCCAGTCGGGGCGCCGGATTCTGTCCCGGTTGCCCCTCTTCCAGGCCAGCTCTCTGCTGTGGTCAGGGAGTGCAGTGGAGGATGGCCCAAGAGCTTGGGTCCTGCACCCACATGGGAGACCAGGATAAGTACCTGGCTCCTGCCATTGGATCAGCGCGCAGCACGCCGGCCGCAGCAGCCATTGGAGGGTGAACCAACGGCAAAAGGAAGACCTTTCTCTCTCTCTCTCTCTCACTGTCCACTCTGTCAAAAAAAAAAAAAAGTATATTGTCATTTACATTAGCACCTTCCAAAATATTATCATGTCTATGCCTTCTCTCTATGAAGAAAACTACAAAACTTATAAAAGACATCAAAGAACAACTAAATAAGTTGATTGACAGGTTGTTTGTGGATAAGAAGATTCATTAATGTCAAGATGTCATATCTTCCCAACTTGATCTTTAGATTCAAACAATCTCAACCAAATTGTAGGAAATTATTTTGTGAACATCAACTATTAATTTTTAAGTTTACATGGACAGGCCATGAATGCCCAGAAAATTCTATTCAGTATTGAAGGAGAATAAAGCCAGGGTGCTTACATTATCAAAGTCCAAAATTTAATCTAAAGCTACAGTAATCAAGACAATGTGATGTTGGACAAAGAACAGAAAAGTAGATCAACAGGACAGAATGAAAGCCCAGAATGAGATTCATCTAAATGCACTCAACTGATCTTTGAAAAAGAACCAAAGGCACTAGTACAGGTTAAAGACATTTTTTTTCAATAAATGCTGCTAAAACAACTAGACATGCACACTGCTTAGAAAGATCTAGGTAAAGAGCGCACAGGTCTGTCCCGGCTTGCGAAAGTGACTTCCCCTCACGGTGGCTCTGCATCCCGACGCGGCGCCCTCCACGGGGGGCCGGCCAACAGGGAGCGAGGCCGCGGCCGTCGGAGGCAGCCGAGCCCGCTCCGGAGCGCGGGAGAGAGGCCGCCCCGCCCCGAGGGACGGCGGGGCCCGGGGCTTACCGGGCCTCGGCGCTGGGCAGCCACGGAGCCCGGCCAGCAGCAGCAGCAGGCGGAGCATGGCGTCGGGGCCGGGCGCCGAGCGGGAACTGACGGCGCGGCCGTTGGGCGGGAAGCCGTCCGCGGGCGCTGTTCTCGCGAGACCCTGGAGCGGGATTCCCGCGGCGCCCGGAGGCTGCCCGCTGCGCGCCGCCCCGGCCCGGGCTGGGTCCCCGCACACCTGCCCCTCCAGTGTGATGGCCCAGAGAACCGAGGCGTTCGTTCTCCTCTAGTAACAAACGCTAGCAAAGGTGGTGTGGTTAGACATACCTGTGAAGGTTTCACCAGGGTTTTATCTAAAAATAGAACTTTGATTGCTGTGATCTTAATGTGCATTTAGGAAGATACTGGGAGACACGAGAATTTGAAATTTTACTTATTGTAAATGTTTTATTTGTACATTATACAAATGAAACACATTAATAACATTAGAATAAGTTAGAGAAGATTATATGGACCTACTAAATCATTGGTGAAGTAACTGACCGAAAAGGTTTCTTATCATCTGTTAATTCCTACAGCTCTATTAATGAGGGAAAATTTTGACAATTTTAAGATCATGAGCTGGGAGCCCAACCTCCTTCATTCCGTTGCAATGTTCACCAACCTGTCAATCATGGGACCCCTCCCCTGAAAGTACTTTTACACAGCATAGTGGGGGTAGTATCATGTAAACGCTTTTGGTTTTCTAAATTCATAAAATGCTAGGTAGAATGCAAGTTTGCTCTCTCCTTGCGGACTCAGGAGGAGCAGAGCAGGTTATGGTAATTCCCTTTCTTTGGCCAGCTTTCCCAAAATAAAGTCCTAATGAGCCAGTGTACTTTTCTCACTTTGTAAATAAAGTTTACCACACTGCATGCCACTTTTGTGGCTGTATTTACAATTCTGTAGGTCAAAGAGTCTGGAATATTAATTTAGGTCCAACATAGCCCACAACACTATGAGGGCAAATAATGCAGTGTTGGAGAAGACCTTGAGAACTCTCTGGCTCCTGTGTATCTATTACCTCCTACCCACCAACACCCACCTCATAATGATTTGCATGTACTATGAAAATGGAGAAGAGATGCAATAAAATTTCTCCATCACTTTCTACACACCTACAGGAACAGCACTTTAAAGATGCAGTCAAATTCTGCTTCTCAGAATGAGAATTACGATAAAGAGAATGACATGTTCACTGCTTGACTAAATCTTAACCACAGTATATACAGAAATCAAAGCATACTTTAAATAAAAATTTTTAAAAAGCAAAAAATATCACCATATGCTCCATAATTATTGTTTTTCAATTAAACCTGTAAACTTTAAAAGTCAAACTAAAGATTATTTCTGTGTTCCTTGGGAAAGAGCAAACAAATATTACACCCACAGGAGCCAGAGATCAGAAGCTGACTACCTTCACTTCCGCTCAGCTGTGCGGAATTACCCTTCTGGAACAAAAAAAAAAAAAAAAAAAAAAAAGAGAGAGAGAGAGAGACAGAGAGATTTACCATGCCTAAACTGGGAGTGTCACTTTTGGCATACCCTTAACCCTGAAGCACCAAACAGAGCTCTCTGGCCAACCCATCTCAAGCCTCTAAGGCTCCAACAAAAGCACATAGTCCACTTAATGCATTCATAATATAACAAGAAAAAAACACCACAGCAAGGGAAGAAGAATCCAAAGAATATCTCCACAATGCCAAGCAACAAACGCAGAAACCGAGGAAACAAGAACAAGGAAGACAGTATAATGCCCCCAAATGAACAAGACACCCGAAGCCAAGATTATGAAGATGATGAGATAGAAGAAATGCAAGATATGGATTGCAAAAAATTTATGATAAGAACATTTAGAAGCTTTCAGAAACAAATTCTTGAACTACAGAAGTCCTTACTGGACAGGATAGAAAATCTCTCTGGTGAAAATGAAATCTCAAGGAGGAATCAAAATGAAAAGCAGAATCTAGTAGAACAGGAAAGTGTGATAGTGAAGAAAAACAAAATTAAATGAAGAACTAAGTATATCAAATGACAAAAACATTAGAGAGCATTAAAAACAGAGTCAGTGAAGCAGAAGAGAAGTATCAGACTTAGAAGACAGAGCATAGGAAAGTATACATTCAAACCAAAGAAAAGAAGAGGAAATTAGAAATCTAAAAATATTGTTGAAAATCTACAGGATACTATTAAAAAAAACAACATTTGGGTTCCAGGAGTTCCTGAAGGCATGGAGAGAGAGAAAGGAATAGAAGGCCTTTTTAGTGAGATACTAGCAGAGAACTTCCCGGGTTTGGAGAAGGACAGAGACATCCTAGTACAGGAAGCTCACAGAACCCCTAGTAAACATGACCAAAAGAGATCCTCACCATGACACATTGTAATCAAACTCAACACAGTGAAACATAGAGAAAAGATTCTAAAATGTGCAAGACAGAAACATCAGATTACTCTCAGAGGATCTCCAATTAGACTCACAGCAGATTTCTCTGTGAGAAATGGATAGATTCATGGACACATTCAACATACCCAAATTGATCCAGGAAGGCATAGAAAACCTAAACAGACACATAACTGAGACAGAATTGAAACAGTAATAAAGGGGCTCCCAATAAAAAAAAGCACAGGACCAGATGGATGCGCTGCTGAATTCTATCAGACATTTAAAGAAAAACTAACTCAAATTTTCCTCAAACTATTCAGAACAACTGAAAAAGAGGGAATCCTCCCCAATGTTTCTTTCTTTCTTTCTTTCTTTCTTTCTTTCTTTCTTTCTTTCTTTCTTTTTTTTTTGAAAAGCAGAGTGGACAGTAAAAGAGAGAGAGAGAAAGGTATTCCTTTGCTGTTGGTTCACCAACCAACGGCCACCGTGGCTGGCGTGCTATGGCCCACGCACCTCGCTAATCCGAAGGCAGGAGCCAGGTGCTTCTCCTGGTCTCCCATGGGGTGCAGGGCAAAAGCACTTGGGTCATCCTCCACTGCACTCCCGGGCCACAGCAGAGAGCTGGCCTGGAAGAGGGGCAACCGGGACAGAATCCGGCGCCCCGACCTGGACTAGAACCCGGTGTGCTGGCGCCGCAAGGCAGAGGATTAGCCTAGTGAGCCACGGCGCCGGCCCCCAATTCTTTCTATGAAGCTAGCATCACCTTAATTCCTAAGCCAGAGAAAGATGCAGCATTGAAAGAAAATTACAGACCTATATCCCTGATTAACATAGATGCAAAAATTCTCAATAAAATTCTGGCCAATAGAATGCAACAACACATCAGAAAGATCATCCACCCAGACCAAGTGGGATTTATCCCTGGTATGCAGGGATGGCTCAATGTGTGCAAAACAATCAATGTGATACACCACATTAACACACTGCAGAAGAAAAACCATATGATTATCTCAATAGATGCAGAGAAAGCATTTGATAAAATACAATACCCTTTCATGATGAAAACTCTAAGCAAACTGGGTATAGAAGGAACATTCCTCAATATAATCAAAGCAATTTATGAAAAACCCACGGCCAGCATCCTATTGAATGGGGAAAAGTTGGAAGCATTTCCACTGAGATATGGCACCAGGCAGGGATGCCCACCCTCACCACTGCTATTTAACATAGTTCTGGAAGTTTTAGCCAGAGCTATTAGGCAAGAAAAAGAAATTAATGGGATAAAAATTGGGAAGGAAGAACTCAAACTATCCCTCTTGGCAGATGATATGACTCTTTATTTAGGGCATCCAAAGAACTCTACTAAGAGACTATTGGAACTCATAGAAGAATTTGGAAAGTAGCAGGACATAAAATCAATGCACAAAAATCAACAGCCTTTGTATACAAGGGCAATGCCATGGCTGAGAAAGTACTTCTAAGATCTATCCCATTCACAATAGCCACAAAAACAATCAAATACCTTGGAATAAACTCAACCAAAGATGAAAAAGATCTCTATGATGAGAATTACAAAAACTTAAAGAAATAGAAGAAGATACCAAAAAATGGAAAAATCTTCCATGCTCATGGATTGAAAGAAACAATATCATCAAAATGTCCATTCTCTCAAAAGCAATTTATAGAGTCAATGTGATACCAATAAAAATACCAAAGACATTCTTCTCAAATCGGGAAAAAAATATGCTGAAATTCATATAGAGACAAAGGAGACCTCGAATAGCTAAAGCAATCTTGTACAACAAAAACAATGCCGGAGGCATCATAAGACTAGATTTCAGGACATACCAAAGGGCAGTTGTTATCAAAACAGCATGGTACTGGTACAGAAACAGATGGATAGACCAATGGAACAGAATTGAAACACCAGAAATCAATCCAAAATTCTACAGCCAACTTATGTTTGATCAAGGATCCAAAACCAATCCCTGGAGTAAGGACAGTCTATTCAATAAATGGTGCTGGGAAAAGTGGATTTCCACGTGCAGAAACATGAAACAAGACCCCTACCTTGCACCTTACACAAAAATCCACTCAACATGGATTAAAGATCTAAATCTATAACCCGACACCATCGAATTAGTAGAGAACATAGGAAAATCCCTGCAAGATATAGGCACAGGCAAAGACTTCCTGGAAAAGACCCTGGAAGCACAGGCAGTCAAAACCAAAATAAACTATTGGGATTGCATCAAACTGAGAAGTTTCTATATGGCAAAAGAGACAGTCAGGAAAGTGAAGAGGCAACCGACAGAATGGGAAGAAATTGCAAACTATGCAACAGATAAAGGGTTAATAACCAGAATCTTCAAAGAGATCAAGAAACTCCACAACAACAAACAACCAACCCACTTAAGAGATGGGCCAAGGACCTCAATAGATATTTTTCAAAAGAGGAAATCCAAATGGCCAAGAGACGCATGAGAAAATGTTCAGAATCATTAGCAATCAGGGAAAATGCAAATCAAATCCACAATTAAGTTTCACCCCACTCTGGTTAGAATGGCTGACATACAGAAATCTACCAACAATAGATGCTGGCGAGGATGTGGGGAAAAAGGGACACTAACCCACTGTTGGTGGGAAGGCAAACTGGTAAAGCCACTATGGAAGTCAGTCTGGAGATTCCTCAGAAACCTGAATATAACCCTATCATACAACCCATCCATCCCACTCCTTGGAATTTACCCAAAGGGAAATAAATTGGCAAACACAAAAGCTCTCTGCACCTTAATGTTTATTGCAGCTCAATTCACAATAGCTAAGACCTGGAACCAACCCAAATGCCCATCAACAGTAGACTGGATAAAGAAATTATGGGACATGTACTCTATAGAATACTATACAGCAGTCAAAAAAAGATCTGAAATGGAGGAACCTGGAACACATCATGTTGAGTGAAATAAGCCAGTCCCAAAGGGACAAA